ACCAGCACCCAAGTGAGCACGGTCAACCAGCACCCAAGTGAGCACGGTCAACCAGCACCCTGGTGAACACAGTCAATCAGCACCCAAGTGAGCACGGTCAACCAGCACCCAAGTAAGGACAGTCAACCAGCACCCAAGTGAGCACAGTCAACCACACCCTGGTGAGCACAGTCAACCAGTACCCAAGTGAGCATGGTCAACCAGCACCCTGGTGAGGACAGTCAACTAGCACCCAAGTGAGGACGGTCAAGCAGCTGCGATCCTAACTCCAGCTCAGATTCCTCGGATGGAAACAGCCACACAAAGACTTTAATAGGGCAAAGAAAGAGGGAGCTTCTAGAAAACAGTCTGTGACAAATACGTTCACTTCCTCCCAACCCACACGGGGTCCTAACACTGGTGGCTCCCGAGCCTCACTTGGGATTGGCGGGATTCATCTAGCTTTAAATCTAGGTGGTGCAGGGGGGATCTATGTGGCCCAGTGGGACGATGCCCCAGGGCGAGCACCTCAGTCCTGTCCTGTGAGCTATTCACACCCTGCTCAAATCCTGAACCAGCCGGGCGCACCWGCAATCCCTTGCCATCCCCGTGACTCAGAGGCTGAGGCAGGAGGATCGCCTGATGGAGGCYAGCCTCAGCAAGTTGGCAAGACTCTGTCTCAAATTATTAAGAAGGGCTGAAGCTGGAGCTCAGTGGTAGGCAATCCCCAGTACTCAAACAGGAAAACCCAACAAAACACGAAGCCTGCAACCAGGTGCTCACCCAGCTCCTCCCCGTGTGAAGCTCCCCCTTCCAAACTGACACGAGGAGCCCCTCACCAGTGTGTTCCGGAGCTGGCGGGGCTCTCAGGACCGTAGCCCCCCTGGCCAGAGCTGAGTCCAGCTCCTTCCCTCACCCACCACTCAGGACCTGGGCACAGTGTGCACCTCGCTGCTGCCGGAGGAGGGAGGCGGTGGGGGCACTGACAGGTCCCTGTGGTGGGAGAGACAGAAGAGGGCGCCCGGACGGCAGGTGTGGAGAGGGGTCACCTACCCACGTGTTTGTTCATCACAGTACTGGGGACTGAGCCCAGGGCACTTAGCCACTGGGCCACAGCCTCAGGCCTTTCAATTTTTCATTTAGAGGCCGGGGGTCACCAAAGCACTTAGGGCCTCGAGAAGTTGTTGAGGCTGGCCTCAAACTTGAGATCCTCTTGCCTCAGCCTCCCAGGTGGCTGGGATTCCCTGGTAGTCCTGTAATTTCACAGCCCTGGTTTGACCCAGTACCAAAGCCAAGAGGAGAGAGGAGAGCAGAGGAAGGTCCCGAGAAGGGAGTAGAAATAGAGAAGGTGACATTCCTGAGGAAGAAGTCAGGAGTGAGCTCTGAAATATCTGGGGAAAGGCTTTCCAAGGACCAAAAGGCCAGTGCAAAGGCCCTGGGGCAGGAGCACAAGGCCTGGAGGCATGCAGTCAGAGCAGGGGAATTCAGGGAGGGAGGGGGCTTCCCACCCCGTGACTCACTCCACAAAGGGACCTGGTATTTCCTCCTTAGGTAAGTGCCTGGGTCCTGTTTAGGGAGTTGGCTAAAATGCTGAGCTACAAGGATCGGGGAAGGTCAGCCCGGAGAGGCAGCATTGATCACAGCAATAAACAGGAAGGAGACAGAACTTTCCAAGGTCAGGGGAAGTTCAGGGACCAGGGCAGCGGCCCAGTACTGAGTTCAGATCTACGGTGCCTATGTCATCACTGTGTGAGGTGTCTGAGCCATGGGGCTCTGCCCCCGGCTCCCTCCGCCCCGTAAAATAGAATAGGTTCTTTAATGATCGGCCTGGCAGAGGGTGTCACAGCAGGTCCACTGCAGGGGTTCTGTCTCCGCACACGGAGGTTTGGGGCGGTTTGGGGCCCAGAGGTTCCATGGGGAAGGGCTGTCCTGTGTTCAGGCCATGGGGAAGGGCTGTCCTGTGTTCAGGACGTCCAGCGGCATCCCGAGCCTCTGCTCCCCAGGTTGAAGCAGCCACACCCCAGCTGCCCTCTCTAGTCAATCAGACACGTCTCCAGACAGCAGCAGCCACTGCTCAAGCAGGAATAAGTAAGAATTCTCCATGGGCCTTGTCTTTCAAACCAACAGGTGATTTTAAAGGAAGGCCTGAGCTGCATGTCTATAAACTCAGCTGTCCTAGGGCCTTTGCACTGGCTTTCCCTGTGGAAGGCTGAACCCAGGCAAATCCTACTCGCCGTCATGTCTCCTCTTAAGGCCTTAACTGTGGGCTCTCCAGGAGCCCCAGGTGTGAGCGTGCCGGGGATTCCCACTGCCTGCGTCTCTGCACCTGTCTCCTCGCTTTCTAGCAACTATCACAGTTGCAGTTAAGCGATATTCCTGCCATTATCATTTAGTGAGTCCTCCATTCCAGCAGGAACCAACCTTGCTGGTTGGGGGCCTCCACAGCCCTCAGAGAACTACCCTAGGCGCCTAGACTCAGATTGTACTAAAAAGCACGCGAGTGGCCCGCTGTGGGACCTAATGACTAATAGGAAGTCACTCTGCACTTTAAAAGCACTTAAAGTGGAATGACAAGGGCCATGGCATCAAGGGACTCAGCCGCAGGGCTGTGGCTCTGGCAGTGCGGCCTCCACGCCTGAGGCCTGGCTTCGTCCTCAGCACCACAAACAAAGGATCCGAAGGCAAAAGCATAAGTGAGTGTCCTTCAAAGGTGCATTTCCCCTCAGGTCAACAACAGAGCCACAGGAAGGCCGCGGAGGGGCCCGGGGGGAAGCAGGCGGCAGCAGAGGACATCTTTCTGGGTTTTGACCTCCTTATAAACATTTTTAAACATTTTTAGGAGTGCCAGGGATTGAACCAGGAGGCCCATCTGCTGAGCCCATCCCCAGCCTTTGAATATCTCATTTAGAGACAGGGTCTCACTGAGTTGCTCAGGGCCTCGCTCAATGGCTGAGGCTGGCTTTGAACTCGTGATCCTCCTGCCTCAGCCTCCGAGCTGCTGGGATGACAGGCGTTGTAAGCATTTTTGTCACCTGTTTTGTTCTAACACTGTTTACTCCCCATATGACATCACTCCCCTGAAGGTGGTGTGTCCAAATACCCTGAATTCCTCACAGGGCCCATGCTCCCGGGCCTTGGGGTGGCTTCCCGGCGTCTGCGTGAGACCCAGAGGCATTGTTTAGGGACAGGGCCTGTGCTGTCCACACGATTCTCAAAGGTGCCGTTTCCAACGGACCACTTCACGTCTCTGTCTGGTTCTAAGTCCTCCAGGGACGTTCMGTGGCCTCTGGCTCGCCCTGTCGGGGGAGGGGAATGCAGGCGCGTTACCGATTTCCTCTCCTGCTTCAGCTCCTGCACGAAGCGGGCCAGGTCCACGGTGATCTGYGACGTCATGTTCTCCGAGATGACCTCGTGCTGCCCCGCGTAGTCGTTCATCTCGTTCAGGGTGGAAAGAAAGGCCTTGCACGACGTGTACCTAGGGGACAGAGTAGGGCTCCTCACACAGGGCCACCCGGTCTCGMGCTGCTTCACGCAGGGGAGACGGTAATTAACGTCAGGTTAATTGTCGCCGACCTCCCAGAGGAGCCTGATGATTCATTACACATCAGCGGCTCTCGCCAAAACGGCTCAGAATTAATCAGCAGCAGACGCTCGATCGGTGAGACCCGCTGCCCTGGGTGGGGCCAGAGCGGTTGGTCAACGCTCAGGGTGGACGCGGTGCCCAGAGTGCTGCAGCACACCGCACGGACGTGACGGATGCTAAGGTCAGAATCAGAGGGAGTGCCTGCCGTCAGTCCCCAGCTGAGTGGGGCTGGGCGCGGGTGTGTGTGTGTGTGTGTGTGTGTGTGTGTGTGACACCTACAATGCCAGCAGCTCCCGAGGCTGAGACAGAGGGTCACAAGTTCAAGGCCAGCCCCAGCAACTGAGYAAGGCTCCGTAGCTCAGTGATCAGGCACCCTGGGTTCAACGCCTAGTCCTGGGGGTGGGGGAGCCCCCCGGTTTCTCGGAGGAGGACTAGCTGACAGGAAGTCCTGACATCACAAACCCAAACCCAGCTCCAGGATGTGTGCGGCCCATACTTCCTGCACGTGCTCAGACTCCGCCCCCAAACCTGTCCTCGTTGCCTGAACTGAAACAATCTGGAGGCGCCAGTTCTGGTGGCTCAGTGTGAAATAAAGTCAGCTACATGACGTTCTTATCGTTCTCCCCAACTTAAAAACGGACTCAGACAGGAAGATGGAGTCGGCTCGGCCTCATGGACGTGTGTCCCCTCTGCTGTCTAAATGCCGCCCACCGTCATCAGCCGACATACTTGTATTCCTCCTCCTCCTTCGAGTTCTTCTTAGGTTGGTATTTCTTCGAAAGATTCCTGGAATAAAAATGCAGACACATCACCTAGGTAGAAGGGCAACGGAGACATCAGGGCTGACACACGACACRGTCAAAGTCTGGGGAAAAAGAAAAATCACAGGTGTCCACGGATGAAACCTGTCACTTCCACCATTTTTTCAGCACCTGTGTCAAGGAGACACTCGCGAGAAGCAGCAGATAGACAAGAGCAGGGACTTACCAGTGGCCACCTGCCTGTGGACCCCGACAGCACGGCCAGCGCGGCCCTCCCTTGGTGTGCAGGGGCCTG